GAGCCTTCATGTTGCTTTCCATGATAGTTGTGCCAATGTATATCCCCATCAGCAGGATTTCCTTCACATCCTCATTGATACTTGTAATTACATATCTTTTTAATAATAGTCATCCTAACATGTTTGAGGTAATAGTTTATTGTGGTTTTGATTTGCACTTCTCTGGCAATGAGTGATGTTGAGAACATTTGCATGCGATAGTTGGCCATTTGTAAACCTGCTTTGAAAAAAATACCTGTTCAAGATGGTTTGTTCATGTTTAATCATATTGTGTTTTGTTTTCTTACTGAGTTGTGTGAGGTTTTTTTTTTTTTTTTTTTTTTTTTTTTTTTTTAGAATATTTTGGGTATTATCTCCCTAGCAGGTAGTTAGTTGGCTTGCAAATAATTTCTTTTATTCCATGGTTGCCTTTTCATTTTGTTAATCACTTACTTTTCTGTGCAGAGATGTACTCTCACTTACTAAATTTTGCTTTCGTTGCTGGGCTTTTTATGTAATATCCTACCTCACCCCCTAAAAGAAAAATCATTGCCAAGACCAGGGTCAAGGAGTTTTCCCTCTATTTGTTTCTAGGTGTTTTACAGTTTCAAGTCATATGCTTCTGTTTTTAATCCATTTTCAGTTCATTTTGTGAGTTGTATAATATAGAGGTACAAATTCATTCTTCTGAAAGAGATTATTCACTGTTCCCATCACCATTCAATGAAGGACTATTCTTCCACATTGATTATTCTTGGATCTTTTCTCAAATATGAGTTGACTGCAAATGTGAGAGCTTATTTCTAGGCTCTTGATTCTATTTTATTGGTCTGTATCTGTTTATTCCAGTACCATATTGTTTTGATGACTATCACTTTGTAATGTAATTGAAATAAGGAAATGCAATGCCTTCAGTTTTGTTTTCTAGATGTTGCTTTGGCTATTCAGATGTTTTTGTTCTGTATGTATGGATTTAGGATTGTTTTTCTATTTCTGTGAAAATGCTACTGGAATTTTTATAGGCAGTGTATTAAGTCTATAGATTGCTTAAGGTAGTTTAGGCATTTTAACAATGTTAATTCTTCCATGAACATGGAATATCTTTCCATTTGTGGTTTTTTTCAATTTATCAATATCAAAATTTTCGGCACATTTTTTTTGCCTTCATGGTTAAATTTATTCCTAAGAATTTTATCATTTTATCATTTTGTAACTATTATGAATGGTATTTCTTTATTTCTTTTGTTCAAAGATTTTATTTATTTATTTGAGAGAGAGAGAGAGAGAGCGCACAACTTAGGGGAGGAAGGGTAGAGGGAAAAGGAGAAGCAGATTCCTCACTGAGCAAGGGAGCCTGATGCTGGGCTTGATCCCAGGACCCTGGGATCATGACTTGAGCCAAAGGCTGATGCTTAAAGCACCCATGTGCCTCTGTATTCTTTATTTCTTTTTCAGGTATTTCTTGTTCACATGTAGAAACATAATTGATTTCTATATGTTGGTTTTGTATTTGCGACATTACTCGATTGATTAGTTCTTTTTTTTTTTTTTTTAAGAAATTACCCTTTTTTTTAATTTATTTTATTTTATTTATTTATGATAGGCACACAGTGAGAGAGAGAGAGGCAGAGACACAGGCAGAGGGAGAAGCAGGCTCCATGCACCGGGAGCCCGACGTGGGATTCGATCCCGGGTCTCCAGGATCGCGCCCTGGGCCAAAGGCAGGCGCCAAACCGCTGCACCACCCAGGGATCCCCGATTGATTAGTTCTAATAGTATCTGGTGAATACTAGGATTTTCTGTACATAAGATCATATCATCTGCAACAGAGACAGCTTTACTTCTTCCATGCCACTATTTCTTTTTCTTGCTTGATGCTCTAGCTAGGATTTCCACTTTGAATAGGAACTGTGAGAATGGGCATCTTTGTCTTCCTGATCTTAAAGGAAAATTTTTCAACTTTCACTAATGAATATAATGTTACTGTGAGCTTGTAATATATGGCCTTTATTATGTTGCAGATTATGTCTTGTCTTTTATACTGAATTTGCTGAAAGTTTTTAACATGAAAGATTTTGAATTTTGTCTTATGCTTTTTTTGCACCTACTGAGATAATAATATGATTTTTAAGCTTTATTTAATGTGGCATATCACATTTCTTAATTTGTATATATTGATCACCTTTATATTCCATGGTGTATGATTTTTTTAAATGTAGTGTTGAATTCAGTTTACTCATATTTTGTTGAGAATTTTTGCATCTGTTATCATTAGCTATATTGGCCTTTAGTTTTTCTTTTTTCTTTTTTTTAAAGATTTTATTTATTTATTCATGAGAGACAGAGAGAGGCAGAGACATAGGCAGATGGAGGAGAAGCAGGCTCCATGCAAGGAGCCTGATGCAGAACTCGATCCAGGAACTTTGGGATCATGCCCTGAGCCAAAAGCAGATGCTCAACCACTAAGCCACTCAGGCATCCCTGGCCTTTAGTTTTTCTATATTGTTTTTATCTGATTTTGGTAATGCTAACCTCAAAATAAGTTTGGATTTTTTTCTTCCTCTTCAATATTTTGGAAGAGTTTGAGTGAATGAAAGATGGATGCTATGATATACATAATGTTCCAGAAACAGTATTTGTATAGTAGAATATAAGAATTTGGTTGGCTTATCTGAATTTTCCAAATAATGCATTGAATAAGAGGCTCCAAAAAGTCACCTTAAGAATCTGACTTTTAATAATAGTATTATATGATAAAAAAAAAAACAACCCCTCCTCACACATAAAAAATGCTAAAAACATTGTGCTTTATATCCTTGTCATTTATCATGTTCTATAAGGGAGAATAGTTCTGGTTTGTTAAACATTAATTAAATTCTCAAATTTAGTTCTTGCTAGTATTGATGATGCTTTAGTTGGTGAATTATTCATAATAACTAATAATAGTTTAGTTGCTTAGCTTCTATTTATAATGAATGTAGTACATCATTTTGAATTTGATCTTTCCCACATTAAAATCCACATTTACCTTTCAACCCTTTATAATACTGTATAATCCTTCTTGTTTAAGAGACCTCCTGAATGACTTTATATATAATTACAGAAGTTTGTTCAGCACTTAGTGTTATATATTTCTGAGTTTAAGGTACTCACTCTGTGCTAACACCAGTATGTCTTCACTTGTTATAAATAACATAACAAACTTTAGTGCCAGGAACCAGAACCATCAATGTAGCCAAGAAGAAAGAGTTGAAAGGTACTGAATTTAAGAAAGGTGGTGAATTTACCAAACCAGCATTAGCCAACCTATTTATTAGTTTGTTTATAATTTTTATTTAAATTCCAGTTAACATACAGTACAATATTAACTTCAGGTATACAATAATGAAACAACCCATTTTAAAATACAAAGATAAAACTAGTTCAAGTTCACTGCAAAATGGGTGAATTTTAGGGATGATTTGAAAGGGAAAAGGGTTCAGAAAAGGTTGTCAGACATGAATAGATATTTTTCCAAAGAAGACGTGTAAATGGCTAACAGACACATGAAACAATGCTCAATATCACCCATCATCAGGGAAATACAAACTAAAACCACAGTAAGATATCCCTTCACATCTGTAGGAATGGCTAAAATTAATATCTCAGGAAACAACAGATATTGGCAAAGATGCAGAGAAGGGGCATCCCTCTTACACTGTTGATGGGAATGCAAACTGGTGCAGCCACTCTGGAAAAGAGTTCGGAGTTTCCTCAAAAGTTTAAATAGAACTACCCTACAATCCAGCAATTGCAGTAGTAGGTAGGTATACAAAGGATACAAAAATAGTGGTTCAAAGGGGCATATGCACCCAGTGTTTATGGCAGCACTATCCACAATAGCTGAAACATTTAAAGAGCCCAAATGTCCACTAACTGAGGATAAAGAAGATGTGTACCTGATACATACCACACACACACACACACACACAATGAAATATTACTCACCCATAAAAAAGAAATGAAATCTTGCCATTTGCAATGACATGGATGGAACTAGAATGCAATATACTAAATGAAATCATTCAGTCAGATAAAGACAAATAGCATATGATTTCACTGCTCTGTGGGATTTAAGAAACAAAACAGATGAACACAGGCAAAGGAAGGAAAACAAGATAAAGATAGAGAAGGAGGCAAACCATAATAAATTAACTAGGGAACAAACAGAGAGTTGCTGAAGGGGAGGTGGGTGAGGGGATGATGTAATCGGGATTGGTATTTAGGAGGGCACTTCATCTAAAGAGCACTGAGTGCTATATGCAACTGATGAATCACTGAATTCTACCCCCAAAACTTTATTTATTTATTTGGGAAAATAAAAAAGGCTGTCAAAGTCAGGCTTCAAGGTAGATCCTTTTAAGATGATCCTCCAAGGTGGACACTTTGCATTTGGGATTGAGTAAAATTCATAATATTGCCATTTGGGATTGGTGGACACATAAGGAAATGGCGTTGAAACAAGTAAACTGTTATTTGAAAAGGCATGGTTGCTTAGGTGAAAAGATTCTTGTCTTCAATAAATTGCACTTAAGGCATATCCCAAAGCAAACAGTAATTTGTTGTTTTATGGTCTTATCTTTTCCAGGCAAAACTTTAAGTCACATTGACACAGATGGTCTCAGTTACCACAGACTGCTAAAGTAGGAAATAACAAGTGTTTACTATCTGTTTGGGTCTTATGTGTTGCTGAGTCTATGAAAAATTTACTGCCATCTTCATTGCTTGGCTTAAGAACTAGAGTAGGATCAGTCCCATCATCTGGTGGAAGTTGGAGTAGTGTTAACTATCCTAGCCTCAAAGATCAGGACCATTATTTGTTCATTGTTTTACTTCTTCATTTAGGCTTTCAAAAATCCTCAATGGCTTTTGTTGTCATTCTACTTATATCTGAAAACAATTATACTAATATGGATATGTTCCCCTATTTCTTGGAGCTACAACCTAAATTTTCTGTGCTTTTTTTTTTTCTGTGCGTTTAGATTGCAGAGGTCATCCCTTGCTTCACAACTGTTGAAATTCTTCAATTTAAAAGTAGCCTCATATTTGTGCATCAAAGGTAAATGTAACAAATTCCTAAACTGCTTAATTCACAAGCTTCCCTAATCCCATTCTCTATTTCTCTTATCTTGGTTTTTATCTCGGACTCTCCAATCTCAGCTTCTTAGACTAGAATTCTGATGCTGTGACCCATTCTTGCTAGTTAGTTCCCTTACTCAGTTCTACTTGTCAGATATCCATTCACTGGAATTGAGTTCCACTATAAATCAGAGATCTCCCAGAACCCAGCACAGATTCATCTGTTGCCCA